AGGAGGAGGAGGCAAACTCTGATTTTCCCATAAGACTTCGATTTTCTGTATTGTGGCGCCCGTAGATCTCCCTGAAGTCGAAATAAGATATAATACAGTAAGGCTTGGGCCTGCTGGCACAACCCGGAGGGTAGGTTGCTCGGTGATGTTACAGTATTGGAGCCCCTAAGTGACCTATTACTGAAACCGGAAGTTAAATGAACAAGTAATGTGATGCATTTCCTTCTCAATATGCAGTTGTGGAACTAGGTGTAAAAATGAAAAATGAAAGTATTACCCCCAGAATCAAGAGATGGCAGTCACTAAAGAGCAAATCAGGTTGATTTTTTCTTACGCAACCATTAAATATTTCTGCTTACTTACGAAACAATTTCTCCTGAATTAATACTTCTTTTTCAATGAATGCATGCGTAATTCTAGGCACCGGATTAATTATTCGTCTGTGATTTATCTTATTCTCCCTTTAAAAAGCAAGAATGTGATACGGATGAAAATGAAACGCCAATTCGCCCTGGGAACATGACAGTGACAAGTGAAGACTAATCGTTGGCTATATGTATTAATGTGAACACCTGTATACATATTCTCGCAGGTCATTTTTATTTTAAAGTTGGTCTAAACATTGGGACGGTATCAACTTCTTTTAGACGAGCAGTACCTCAACACATGAATTTAAGTCCAATACTTTTTATGGTTGTTCAACTCCTGGTTTCGCTAACGGGTCAATTAAAGGCACCGCTATTATACCTCCACCGGGCGGCTGGACTCAGAGTGAGGTCAGTAGCCCCAAGACCTCCTGTAGATGTCAGTACATACTCTATCCGAGTATTAGGCCTTCTTCCATTTTCAGAGAAGGCTTGGAGTGCTGCGATAGTATTTGCTCATGCACGTTTGCTTCAGCGCAACTTTTAGATGGCAAGCAGTGATAGTGAACCAATCTCACGACCGGGAAAGCACCAGCTCTTCCAAGGTGGAGATAAATGGACAGTGAGATACTACAGAAGTGCGTATCAATTGTAAAATCGCACATTACTACAATGCACGATGTTCCGCTCCAATCACCCTTCTGAATTTGGAGGTGAGAAGAAATAACATAGCGAAAATATCATCTAAATATTGCACCATTGACGAACAATAATCTGAACGTTATGGTAAAAAGAAAGTGGAATAATGTGCACAAAAGCTTTGAGAGTTTGAGGTAGGAGATATAAATAACCCTGAACTAAGTCGCTCGCAATTACCACCTGTGATGGTACATCTATCATTATTAATTATGCTGAATATTTACCAAAAGGTATCTGCTCCAATCTAATTTCTCTACAATTGCTTTCCTGTCTTGCTTTTACTCTTTTTAATGACTTTTAAACAAAGTCAACATCCATTTTGCGACAGTTTGGTGTAGCTAGGTCTTCTGTATTTCTGGAAATGGTTCTTAAAATATAAAAACTTTTCGCGCAAACATTTAATTGCTCTAAGTAGAATTCTCGTGATGATGCTTTGGATACACCGATAAAATGGATGGCTATAAATTGATTGACTTTAGTAGGAGATTTGAGATTCCATCAAACAAACACCCACACACTCATCCATTTATGTCTAGGTTGCTTGGTTAGCCTCAAACACTGCTGATTTGTGTAACAATTTGGCATCTACCTCTCCATGCAGATCTTTTTTGACCCATACTGATAGTAACTGGGATCTGATACACCGATTCTATTTTCAGGTGGTACTGAAGTAAATGTAATTCACGTTCTTCTTTTCTCTTAACCGTCAATTCACGCTGATATGCAGTGGCTATTTATTAGGTTGCTCTACTGCACCATATTAAGTTGTCAGACACCAGTCAGGAAAAAGCCTCATGGTGTTAAAGCGAACATTTTTTCGGGAGTAGCGACGTCGAAAGTGCTTATTTATTCTGAAGGTCTTTAACAACTCCTCTATTGCTATTACTTTGAGCAATCTGCTAGAAAGATGAAATCACGTCTTCTCGATAAACTAGAGGTTGGTCTAAGTCGAAAATTTGTAAACTGCTCTCTTTCTCAAGAAATAGGGTTTGCATCCATACCTCTGCAGCAGACTTGGAAAAGATATTGAAACATTTGGTTTGGTTAGAAATCACTGCAAAGTTAGATGGTATAGCGATACAGTTACAGTATTATGCATCAAACAGACATTTATGTAGGAGGAATAAGCAAGCAGCAAAGATAGATTGGAGTACACATATTGCGGTCCAAAGAAATATTCCACTAAGGAAGTTACCGCTGCAAATTTCATGCCAGGTTGCAAAAGTGACTCTGCTATTTTCGGATTGGCCACTACCTTCTCTTATTCTCATTGGTCAGTCCATTTGCTCTTGAATTTTCCCAAGATCCGACTTTTCAAATGTCTAACTTCCCAAATTAACAAGTTGTAGTTTTACATGTCAACATGAGTTTGTCAACACTAGGACCTCTTCCACTGAATTCTAGTGAGGCAGAATTCACAGAAGACATTTGGGAGTACCTAATTCCGATCCGCGGACTTCGACGAACTGAATTGGAACTCCTGGTCCCAATTTTCATCATTTACATCATTATATTTACCTTTGGTTTCTTTGGAAATGTAATTCTACTTTGGGTTATCCTTGTCAATCGCTCTTTCCATACACCGATTAACTACTACCTGGTCAATCTCAGCGTCTCAGATCTCCTTATTCTTGTTCTGGGTCTTCCGCACGATCTTTATATGATGTGGAACCGTTATCCCTACCCGTTTGAGGAAGCTGCCTGTCGTTTGAGGGCATTTCTTGCCGAAGCCAGTATGATATCTTCTGTGCTTACAATCACTGTGCTTACAATTGAAAGATACATTGCAATAATCCATCCCCTCTCAACGGCAATTCCTGGCACCAAAAGAAGAAATGGCTCAGACAGTGTTGTCAGGCTGAAAAAAGTGGACTTTTTCAGATGTTGTAGAGATTGGGGTCGATTTAAAAAAGTCCGCATCACCGTCATTATTGTGTGGATATTATCACCGCTGTTTAGCCTACCCATCACGCTCCAGGTCGCTCTGAGTTATATCTATAGGAATGATTCGTCTACAAACTATCAATCAGTTATGATAAAGGAATCCTCCATTTGTACTGTCTCGGTAAGTCCAACTGTGCAGTTGCGAACTTTATATTGCAAAAGAAATCTTGTTTTTTGTTATGTGGAGCTAAGTTATTTATCTTACCGGACAACTAAGTACTTACTTGCACCCGCCTGCCAATTTTAATATCATCTAGTAGTTTAGCGTACTTTGCATTGAAAAATGCTTTGGAAGAAGGGTACAACTTAGGACCACAATATTCACTGCTTGTGGTTTTGCATGGCTTCTTCACCCTGAATTATTTATATGCTCTCGGAGGTGAAATATCTTCGTATAAAGTGTTGCGTTTTTATGCAAATGGCCAAGATAAGTCGTCTACCTCGCGCGCATTAGATCACGGCGAAATTTAATGCCAGTCATGGCAATTAAAATTACAAGCCGAAATTTATCCACTCACATCTTTATTTAGCTAGTAAGGATGGTTACGGGAACATAAGTTAAAGTAATTACGCCGATATAGTCAAAATGCGTAAACAATATCTGCCTCTACATAAGAGGCGGATCCCGCAACTCATCACGAAGTCCATTTTAGGTGAATTTGAGTCGGAAACTACAGGAAAGGCACAAGCTTTACTGACTTAAGTTTAAAAGTTGTTATTTTTATAAGCAGATGTTAGGCCTTAAGTTAGGAGAATCAATCTACTGTTAACTATCAGACGGAGTAACGTAAATCCTTCTATGAAAAATAAGGAAGGAAACGGAAAGGAAATGGCAACAGATAACCTAGTTATGTATGCTAGCAGCTCAAAAACCACTTATACCAAATGTTGTGAAACAGGAGGTAATTATTTTGTATGCAATCAACGTAGAAGTTAAATCAGCATTTGCTCGCCTCGGATTTCGGTGAAAAATAGTGTTGATTAAAGTTTGCTCAGTTAACGAAAATCTGAGTTGAGTGTTGCACGTAATTGAGATAATTCTTCATTGTATTAGCGCGTTTAAAGGCTCCAAATAATTAAGTAATAGAGAAATAGGTAACTCGTACTTCTTACAAAGTAATTCTTACGGATCACAAGGCTTCATCATTGTATTATTTTATGTGAAATCGACCGGTAAAAAACGCAAATTCGGTAGTATCCTAAGGAGCCGATTCAACTAGATTTTTTCTTTCATCTAATAATAAGATCATTCAATCTAGCCATAGTCATCTGTCAATTCTGTACAAATCAGTAAATTCCCCTGGTTTTAAGAGTTCCGCGTAAAAAATTACGCCGTAGTCCCTGAATTTAAAACCGTCAAAAGTGTTTTTTAAACAGGTGTCCCAAAATAAATGTCAATTAACACAATCCCAGGGTTAATGACACCTGCTAACTCGACGCAAAGACCTACTCCATAGGGATTTTCAACTGTCTGAAGAAAGTACTATCACTTTGCATGGTATACGCTTTGGCTTCATACTTGATTTGAGAATAATTTGGTTCGTTTCCCTTTGGTAGAAATTGTAAAAAGACGCCTTTGTTAATGAAACAAATTAGATGCTTTATGCCACAAAACCACGTAAAAGAGTACTCATTCCAGCCATTTGAGTATAAATGTTAAAAGCGCATGGTTTCCACATTAGCCTCCTGTGTAGGAACGCGAAGCCTTCTTCCGCATGGCTCTCCCAATCCACAAAATAATCGGAGATTTAGGTGTTTCCTGTAATAGAAAGGAAAGTTCTTTTTTGAGAGGAAACGGCAGTTTGCACCACCTCAATGCCTATCGCAAGTCATAAAAACAGTAAACAGAGCCTTATTCAATATTTGAGCGAGAAATTTCAGACTGGCTATTTGACTTTAATGTAACTACTTTCGATTTGAACAAAGCGCAGAAAAAGAATAAAACGGGGACGCTCCATAGAAAATTTGAAAACCTACAGCTCTATGTACCAGTATAAATGACAAATGCAAATTCCTTGAACAAACGAACATTGTTGCGCTTTAAAAATAAAACCCGTTTGTAGTGGTTTCGATTTGGACGAAATCCAACACCAAATGAACATTTGTGCGCCAAATACGCAAGTTTCTGGGATGTATTTTTCCCATTAAGAATTCAACAAGAGCAGATAGATGTTTGAGCATATTTTATTCATTGAAAATCTCTGACCTTTCCCAACAGCTTAACTTTAAACACCACCGCTTCCATAGCAGCGCACATCTTCGCATGGCCAAGCTCTGCAGCTAAATTTTGTGTTTTTATGCAATATGCAACTTTTTGGCTGATTACCTGGTCCTAACTAATACCAAATAGGGGGAAAGGTTTTCTCACTCTCCTTGACAGTGCAATGTGTCAAAAAAATAAATCTCGGGCATGAATGCTTGACAGTCTGCACGGCAGCTTTTGGTAAAGTGCGATGAAGAAGCGTAGGTGCTTATCAACTTTTTGCATTATTCACTAGTTTATTCTTGTCGCTTTAGTCCCGACTAACGTGGTACTAGAAGGGTGAATAAAAGACCCTATCAAAGGTGATGCATCAAGCCTTGAAAGATTTAAGGGGAAAGTCAAAGTGCCTAAAGCTTTTCTGTAACACATGTCCCCCTGCCATGTACCACAAGTTCCCTAAATGCTATATAAACATATTTTTACAAGGAGATACATCAGCCTTGAAACCAACTTAAAACCCCTCCATAAGGCCGACAAACTAGTGTCTAGTCCATTAATTCAAGCACAAGCCTCTTGCAGGGGCCTCGAGAGAGGAGCAGGTCGTCGCAGCCAAATGTTTTGGACACCAAGCGGACCTCCCGGCACCTGACCTGATGTTAACTCTTAAACACCCATCGCATTCAAAATTTAGGGTTTTTATTAAATGCCATCTCCACGATAACCATGAGATTAGTCCAGTTTGGCAAAGAAAGACCCCTAAAATACGAGTCATGTACTTCACCGACTTCCGGTACTTTCAGTGATGTCGGCCCTTAAAGATGGGGTACTTAAAGAACGCGGAAAACAAGCAGTGCTAATAAATTTGGTGATTTAGACAAATCCTAAGAATAGCAAGGTTAATCACCGTTTATTCTGTGCAGCAACGTATAATTTTGGTGAGAAATTGTTTATTTTATAACAAAAAAAGATAATAAGAGCTGCATAATTTAACTGGCTTATCTTAGTCTAAATTTGGTTTATTTTTATGACACATGATGACAGTTATATTCAAGTCTTTGAGCAAACTTCACTTACTCCTACTTCTTCAAAGATTTCATCATTAATTCCTGGTTTTATAAAAGCGTTATCACTTTATGACAGAATATTTGCTTGAATATACTTACAAATTTCCAGTTAAAAGGCTACCTGGAGATACGAATTTTTAATAATTCATATCGATTAAGCCATGATTAAGACATAGATTTGTCCAAATGTCCCATTCATTGCGGTGAACCAAGAAAAACCAGTGTTTGATGGGGACGCTTTTCCTTCTAGATGACTAGAGCCCCAAAAAGATGGTCATTTTAGTGTTTTTAAAAAATCACCTCCTCGAGCACATCCAGATTTTATGTTTTTTCAAAACTGTAAAATAAAATGCAGCTATATTTCATAATTTATTATTCTGTCAGGGCTTAAAGGTGCAACGATTTTGAGTACGAATTGCCGCGCGTTGTTCCCCTCCCTTCTTCCCCTCTTCCCTCCTTTCTTTAATTGGGTTCAAGCGCCATTACTCTAAACTCGCGATTAGTTAAAGCTCCGTTCTCGATTGTTAGAATTCGTGCCTATCTCGAATAAGCAGAGCGTTTGATCGTGTAGCGCAAAAACCCGGATTTTGTTGTGCAAAATCATTGTTCTATGAGTTTGAATGCCTCCCAAGAGGCTAAATAAAGAAGTAGGTCTTTCAAATTTATTTGCCATTCCGCTCCGAGTCGATGTGTCGTCGTAAACGTTGGAAATGCAAACTGCGTTGAGTACTGAGGTCCGTATCATCTGCAGCTCCTTAATTTAAAGCTCGGTAAGCAAACAAGCAAAAGCAGACTTGTACTTATTTCCTGTTTGTCCACAAACTCCTCCCCTCCGTCTGTCGTCGTGAAAGGGATTAGTGCAGGTAAATATTCTCTTTTTCACCACTCCTCTATCATCTAAAATCTAATTTTTGAGTTTTTCTGTAAATATCTGATCTAAAATAATTCAAGAGATTCGGCTAAATCATAAGCTCTTTAATCAAAGGCGATGGTTTTGTTGATTTGAAATATCTTCCGGGACATAATAGTCGTGCAGAATGTGTACTGTCACCACGCAGAAGGACTGAGGGATTGATGGCATGATCCGGAGGTCAGGCCGCCCAGCAGAGGTACAATGGCGGGGCGCCTAAGTGGCCCCTTCACCAAAACTGGGAGTTAAACAAACAATTCACCTTCATTTGTGGGAAAATATTGGTGGATTTAGAGGTAGGATTTGATGATATTATAAACAATCACGACGAGGTAAATGTAGAAGAGAGGCCCGCCGATTTCTTTCTGTTTACTGACAATTTGGTGTCATTTCCGCATACTTCTGTTTATTAGGCTCACTTAGGAACAAATGAACTTTACGGAAGCACCTCCTTCAAGTGCTGCCCCTCCCTCTTGTTTATCCAAGTCCAAATCTTACAAAATATCACATACCCGAGCAGTTCAAGTATAATTTACCTATTTATAAAGCTTCAATGAACTTTTGCAGAGCATCATTGCATAATGAGTAAAAGGAAAGCGCCCAATGGCTTCGCAAAATGTTATTAAAAAAACTTGAGCACAACTTTGTCATCCATTTGCAAACTAAAGAGATTACTTTACCTGCAGATAATTTAAATTTCGAAGCTTCGGCACATTGTTTTTTTTTTAGGGTTGAATCGGAGGATTGGTTCTCCTACCCGGTTCTAGCGAGTTTCATTCTCTTCTTCCTCCTTCCCTTGGTTATCATCACCATCCTCTACATTCTCATTCTTCGGGGTGTGCATCGATCAGTGAAATTCACCCAGAATCTACATCCCGTGGAGACGATTGAGCCACCAACCTCAGGAGAGCTCACTCTCCCCTTGGTCAATGTGCGAAAGCACTCCTCCGGGATTCTCGCGGTCTCGCCACTGAAACGCGGACGTAGCATTGCTTTTCGAACGGGGCAGGACAAGAGAGCAGCTAGACAACACCAGGAGCTCTGCCAAATCCAGCAAGTTCAACACCACGCACGAATGAGGACAAATAAATCATTGATTAGGATTTTAGGTGAGCAGGAAAGGTGTTGTTCAGGTCAAACCGAGGCTTTTGTGCCTATAAATGGAGGGAGAGAGAAAGAGAACAGTTATATATAACCTTATCCTGGCGCTTGACTAGTTCCTGACCTAGAATAAGCCTTCTACGTGGTTCGCGAGGGGTTAAGTATCCTGTGTGTGTCCACTCCAACTCTTGTGAAATTAGATGTCACGCGCTGAATTGAATGATCATAGGGATTACAAATGAGGTAGCGTTGGTTTGGACACTATCACGGCCGTGATCGGTATTGACGTGCAGACGTTCAACCGTCTTCAAAATGATTTCACCATTCAAATGCCTCACTGTGGCTGTAGATATGAGCAGATATTCGTGCCCACCATGTGAATTAATTGTGTCTGGATTGCAGCAGCCCATAACTGCTAGTAGTCGACAACATTTAGCATTCGCTACTACCTTTGATACCGCCACGGTGTTGATGATTCCACTTTTTCTTCCAGTTTGTATCATCATCGCGTTCTTTACCTGCTTTGCGCCATTTCATGCGGAGCGGCTCTTGGTAGTGCTGGTACCAGCGGAGCTATGGTACAACAATAAGATTCTCTGGAAAGTTCATGATGTGCTCTATCACGTCTCCGGCATTTGTCTCTTCGCCAACTCAGTATGCAATCCAATCCTCTACAACATCGTCTTCCGACGAATACGCGCGGAGTTTAAGGCAGCACTGATGTGCTGTGGCAAGAAACGAAGACAACAACGGGAGTGTAACAATGGTCGAGGCAGATCCTCGGTTTATCGGCCTTCAACAATATCGCAAACACCTAAAACTGCAGAATTTTAAGATTTCATTTACAATTCTTATCTCTTGATGCACCGTTGTTTATAGTGTCCATAGCTCTTTTTCTTTCTCTTCTTCTCTTTCCTCCGACTTTTTTGAATCGTTATCAGGCGAAACGAAATAAGTGTGCTCGTCTCGTATCATGGACACAGTTGATTGAAATGACATTTTTACTGCGAATTTGTTGAAGCTCATGAAGATATCTACAACAATCATTATGAAGAGATGCTCTTCCGTCTTTATGCAAGTGTTGTTCGGATAAATCACGGCCAGTAGTCAATCGGCTTCCTTGGGAGATGTTTATCATCATGAGTAATTTACTATGGCGTCCGACTAAAAGAAAAAAATATTCCCAAAGCATTTTTTGGACAAATCCTACTCACAGTCCCCTTCGAATATTTTGGTTGCGACTTAACCAATTAGAAAATAGTACTTTTCAGAACTCGGTCAGATCCAAGGTTTTAAAGTACCACAAAAAAAGAAGAAGTTGAAGGACCGATTTATTAATTTTTAGATATCCTGAGGATATTACTTAGTTGAAGGTGCGTCAAGACGGGAGAGGAGTGAAAGACAGCCAAGCGGGCGAGCTACTGGAATTAAGGACTCCTGTGTGACCTGAGGAAAACCAAAGCTTTTTCTATCTAAATGTGAAAACTTCAGATTAATCACTTCGCTATTGCAAGATTTTTACCTTCGAACTGTCTCAGCCTGTATCTGTCCAATACTAAGAAAGAATGTTAATCGCTTGGAGCATTATTTGGAAGATAGGAAAGAGGAGGCAGTATGGTTTTTCCATTTCCATCCTAAAAATGGCAATCTTCCTACGGTTAGGTCTTAATGAAATGAAAGCAAGACATTCTTCCTACTCATTCAGCAGTTTGGGTTGTTTTTAAAGCAGCATATTTTCCTCCACACCTTCGACCTGCACCGTTATATTCACCGCCATCCACACATGCAACAGGCATAGTCGTCTGAGAGGGAAGTAATGAGGGTTTCAAAAGTGAGCCACGGTACAGCGGTGAACGATGATATACAGGTCGTTCGTTCCTCAAACCTTCTTGTTTCATTCATTCATTCCTTCGGTCATTCCCGACTTATTTTATTCGGTCGGTCAGTAAGCCCTCCTATTAGAAACTAAAGACCATTAAACTGCTAGACATACAAGTTGGTTGCATGACAACTGAATAGGACGCCCTCGTTCTGTAGCTCCTACAACTCTACCCTTCCATGTGTTATGGATATAGACTATTCGCTTTACCACTCATTAAACATCAGTGGATGCAGTTCTCCAAGCGTCACTCTGCAGTAAAAGACTCCCCTGAATGTGATCCATCTAGTTTTAACCAGTTCCAGAAATTAAATTCATTACTAACTGTGATCATGTTCTGCTACTGCACACTTTCACCATCGCTGGGTGTTTCCACGGTTTTGGAATCGAGTTAAACACGGTAACACAAAGCGGCCAAATTAGGATTACATCCATTATTTCATCAGTTTGGCAGACCTGTCCGATTTGACATCAGTTTAGCTATCAAGTGAATCTTATATCATAACAGAAGCTCGCCTTTCTAAGTCCAGGGTTAAAAGCCACAAGACAATCCCCTCTATTGTGGAGACAGTTTGACAACCAGTAATCACATGTGTAGTTTCCCCTCCCCCCCCCCTGTCATGCACAGAATGCAAGTACGAATCAGATGTAAGGATAGTAGCTTGGATAAAATACTTTTGTTAATTTATAACAAATAATTCCCGAAAGTATATATTCTAAGCTCTCGTACCATGGCTATTAACTGCTTAGCAACTGTCTACATAGACACAATCCTTTGTATGATACAGTCGGTGCGTTTTGGAAACTTGCCGCTGGAATGATATACATCACAGTGTGGAAGTACATTTAAAATACATGTGATTTTTTAAAAGACAATCATCATAATGAAGGAATAAAATGCTCTGACTATTAATAGGGTAACAAATAAAGTCATCTTGACTACTCTCCAACTGAAGGGTCCTTGGAGAAGATGTGGCGGCAAAATCTACCACACCCTTGGATTTCTGGGTGAAATGCGCCCGAAGTCTACCCACTCGGGACAACACAACTCGAAAGAGCTAGTCTGCCAGAGGAGAAAAAAGCCATTGAAGTGGCTTTAAAGTAAACGCAACATTTTGCACCTACTTTTGAGAGGTACTTCCTCCAGACCTAATTATTAATTTTTTTTGGGATTAGGCTCGGACAATCGCATATGAAACCGAATAGACAATTGGAAAATAAAAGCGGTGAAAGGCGGAGAAGCTACAGCTAAGTCGCTTGTTCCTTGAAAAGTGGCAACACCTTTTCGATCTTGCGAAGTGGTAAGGGGTGAAGGATTGAAGATCCAAGGTGTTTGATCGGACACTCGCATGACATCCAAGCCATAGGTATCAAAACTGACAGCTTAAATGTATTATTACTTACTGATGAGCTAAAAGAGGACTGAGAGCTCACGAATTCCTCTGTTAGGTAGAGAGGTATCAACCCCCTTAATCCATTCTGTTTTCATGACTTTGCCAGTGTCTCTCAGCGACCTACTTATAGTATTTATGCATCCCGAAGCTAAATCTGACACGCACTATGTAAGAGGTTTTTTCTTATTTTGTTTAACTCTCAGTTTCGGTAACGGGCCACTTGTAAGGTCCCGCCATTGCATCTTCGCCGGGTGGTCTGGCCTTTGGGCCATACCAGTAGTCTCCATGCCCTGCAAGTTGTCAACATTAAATAGCCTGCTCGAGTATCATACCTTCTCTCGTCTTCAAGGCAGTCTCGGAGGGGTACATTGGTGGCATCAGAAAACGAAACCTATCTTAAAGGACAAGTGTCTTGACTTTTACTGTCAAGTGATGAAACTTAGCGGGGTAAAGGAAATGCATTTGCTTGGAAAGTGAAAATCTGTGACAACCCCCTAGCTGAAGGCCTGAAAATGACTTCCACCCTCGGCAATTACCTTGGCCCATGGTCTGCAGGAAAGCTATCCACACATGAAGCGACACTAACCATGAACCATCTTGAAAGGCTTGTTATGGAACTGTTTACCGCACTTGTATGAAGGTGCCAAATATGTGAACTCGTTATACCTCCTCCACCTCCCTACTATATGGAGGTGGGTAGGACTGAAGTAACAAAAAAGTGCCACGGCGGAACAAACGCGAAACCCCATTCCAAAGAAACCGTGTTGAAATCCGCACTTTTTTATATGACTCTGATTTTAAGCCAGTGATCCTACCACTAGTTGTGGATACAAATGATGGCCCGTCTAAGCCCCGTCCCCTAATATATTTTCCATACAGGACGAAATTCCAGGTCCAGCAGAATTGCCAAGAGAGGACAGTGACATTGCGGTCAGGTATCTTCTCAGACGCATGGAACCTCGATGATTGGCATGGGTGGCTGGTGAGCACCGACTGCGTTATCATAGCTGACGCCATAGTTTGACCTTGGGGAGTGCAGAGGACAATAAGGGAATGGAGCTATGCAATACTTTGGTGGTTTTTAACTCTCACTTTTAATAACAAACCGCTTAGGGGCTCCGTCACCGTATCTCCTCCAGAGCACTACAAAGTCATCTGACGAAAATTGCCTATGCTACTCAAAATCATTACAATAATGGAAAGATTATGGTTGCCACAGCGGTTAATACGTCTACGTTTGCACACGAAGAGAGCCTTGAATTCAGGAAAGGGAAATTTTGATGCACATTTTCCTTACTAAATTGGAACGAAGTTTTTTTGCTGCTTGTTTTTTGCTATTCCAACTACTTAATGCATTCAGCCATTACATGCTGGTCGACACTAGGGAATATGCGTTTCCTCTACGAGTCTTCACATAGGTAGTTTGGTTGACTAATGAAATCTTGCCTATTTTATCTTTCATCATAAATAAGGAAAAAAATCTTTCTTTTTAGCCATTTTCTTGTCTTGAATGTTATTCCACCAAAATTTTGAGATCCAAAAGTTATTAGGTTTTTTTCTAAAAATACACGTTACTTTAAAAAGTTCTGATCTTTTAAGGAAAAAATGTTATTTGCCCAAATGCCGAGCATTGATGTAGCACCCCAAGACTTCTCCGAAGCCGAAGGGAGACCTACAACTCGGACAGAAAAGGTATTGTCGACATACTGAAAGGCTTTGGAGCCACTGGCTTGGTCCGGGAGGCGAGACCGTCTGGCGGGGGTATCATGGTGGAGCATCTAAGCGGCCTGTTACCCAAACCGAGAGTTAAAAAATGAGAATTTGTAAACTCTCACCATCAAGATACAGAGTTGTTCCAAACACCACTTCTATAAGAGAAAACAAACTTAGTCACAGCCACTTCCACTCCCATCACTTTTAGTTACGATTTGGTGGATTATCTCTCCTTCCTATCAGGAAAGTCGAAATAATCTCGCGGTTAAGGTCAACGACATAGACTACGAGTGTGGCGCCCCAAGAGTTTTCTGAAGACGAAAGCGGACATATAACTCGAGCTGTAAATACATTGCCGCCGCATAATAGGGCTTGGGGGGCTACTGGCATGGCCCAAAGGCCAAACCACCTGGGGGAGGTACAATGGCGAAGCACCTCTTTGGCCTCACCACCAAAACCGAAAGTTAAACAAACAAGCAAAGCATAATACAGCCCTTCGCCTCTTTTAAGCGTTCACCCCATGGGCGAAGTCCCGCGTCAGTCATCACAATGCAGTCGGTGCTGTGAGAATAATACCCACGAACCAACCCCACCAGTCATCGAATTCTACTGCAACTAAGATGATATTTAACTCCCAACGTCACTGATTCCTCTTGGTAATTCTTCTGGAGCTGGTGTTTCGTTCTCTTGAACGAAAACTGGATTCGGGGACGGAGAATTATGCTAGCTATCATGGATGTCCGTCGCCAGTGGTATGAACTCTAGCCTAAAAGCATACTTAAACTAACAAAGGACGGAATATAGCATAATTTCGCAAGGGTCAAGTTTCGCGCTTATTCCTCCTTACCACTTTGCGTTCACTTCAATGGTGCCCAGATAAGACTTTCCCGAAGCAGTAGCCTCCACAACTCTCCCTTTGCAGGTGGCCTAGGTACAGGCCAATTGCATTACTGGATGTCACTCTTAATTTATTATGGTCAAGGAGGAAACGCGTACTTCTGCAAGAATATAGACACACTACCATGGAACCTACAGAGAGGTTGAGAAACTAGCAGCATAGGCGACACGGAAAATGATAATTTTTGAAGGGGTAAAGACCAAATCGTGGAATATTGAAAAAGCTTGCACATTTATGGACGTCAACTTCACTTCCTTTTCTACCCCAGCATCCTGCTCCATTCATGTCATCAGCAATCAATGCGCGCTCTTGTCAAGTAACCAGCATCATTCAAGCAGTTCAATGAATTAAATTGTTAAGCCATTAGCGTACCAACATAAATGGTTTCATGGTTGTGTGATGCAAGCATTTCATTGGTCCAATTAATGACACTCCAAATATGGAAATGTCCAACCGTAGTAGTGTAAATTACACCAACTGATAAATATTTCATTATAGCAGGCGGACTTAAAATCGTTTTTTGAGGGAGCTCGCTTTATAACTCGAATTTTTTATATAAAGTAATGCTAAGCTGCACCTTGCATGACTAGGTGAAAATTTACTCTTGCTACTAATGTCACATATATGTGACGCTCGAGTGCGAAGTCTGATCATAAAGGTGGAAATGAACCGTGGGATTCAGTGTCTTCCAAACGTTCAAGAGATCGAGGTTAATTTCGAACATCGGGCCGGAATCTCCGTCGGCGTGGAGCGTTGCCTGTTTCCTGGCCCTACGGAAGCGCAGGTGCACTTCAAGCCGATCCAAAAATTCCTTCCTTATGCTTCAGCTGTTGGAGATTTTGCTATCAAACAGATATGAATGTGTAGTAAACTTGAATATCAGCAAGACTGGTGCATATGTTGGAATTGGATGGGATGTTGGGGAGGAAATTCAGGGGTAGATGTTGAAGTATGTACTAAAGCGAGCACATTGCCTTATGCCAATCGCTGTTGGAAGAAGTGTTCGCCTGCATGGAACACAGGGTTATCGTGCCCTCAGATCAAGACCATAAATCTGTGTTCATGCAAGCACTTTGTTAAGGCCAATTTTGATTCGTTCAAATCTGACCTCACTTCATTACCAGCTACTGTTGCAGAACTCGAGATTGAGATAGTTGGAAAACAGCAAATGAGGTTTTGGCACTCACTCTAATGCGAATTTCCCACAGACTTGCTCATCAAGCCCTTCTTAGTTAAAAACACAGCCAGCAGAAGTCAAAATTGTCCTATTGTTGGAGGATTCTGATAAAAGCACAGAGGAGGCTCCACGTCACCGGCACGGTTACCGGATTGCAAGACTATAATACCCTGGGGCAAACTGATACTTTCAGGTGCCGCAATGTCGACTTTGACTTCCCTGACATGGCATTCAAATCTTACCAAGGTTCACCCCAAATGGGCCTTGGAAAAGGCAAAATGGTGATCCTAATCTCGTTAGTTAGCCACTGAGGACAAAGCCCGCCTTTTAGAAGGCGCAACATTCAGGTGTGCCAGCCAGATACTCATGGAAGGAATTGTTACAGTAGAACCAGAGGAATGACTACGATGAATGCTGGAGATGACGTTTAAGAGAAGAAGGAGGTCACGCGACGGTGGATGCCTTAATCATTAAGAGTTTAACAACAGGACATGGCCTATAACATCTCAACTCCATTATACACGGATAATGAACCGTTTGTCCATAGCAGTATGCCTTGTTACGGCTCCGGAGATGATTCGGAACCCAAAACATCGCGTCTGATGCAGCAACCAATTGTATTTCGTTAAAAAAAGGCACAAATAGATCTAATTGAATAACAGAGAAGATATTACTTGTCTGGTATATCGGATCCTATCACAGAAAGGTGATCCCAATCACTACTCCATCAAGGAACAAAAATGCTCGTCCTCGAGGGAGTGTGACCGGTTCGATAGACGTCGTGGCACAGCGACGACTCCAAGAGACTTTTGAATCTGGTAAAAGTGTGGTTGTGCTTCGGCGGGGCTGGGCAATACACAAAACTCCAGTCCAATGAAGACCGCCATCTCCATTTTCAATAGATCTCGGTGTGATATGCGCAATTCACTCTCAATCTCCTGAATGAAATTTTAGAAAAAGAAGTGTTACCTTCACCTGCAGGCATAAATAGCTAATCTGGACTAAATTATCACTGAATAAAATCACTACTTAGCTGTATTTGGTAAGCTTTCACAAGAAGCGCCAAGAAAAAGGCCATTAAAAATTTAAGAGACTAAACCTATGTTTAGTTGATAATGCGGAAGAAGCTTTCTAGGCCACAAGAGTTAGGTGCCAACACGCTGGGAGGATGGTTGAGAATTATTAATAGGCACTTGTTAATTCCTTTGTAGAAAGCAATAAATAAGGAGACCAACCTGAATAAAAGCAGGCAGAGCTGGTCCCTTGAGATCATTCAACTTGGCACCGATCAGCAAGGCAGCGCCTGCGCAGAGCTTTCGATTCGACTTGCAGACAAACAGCTGGAAGAGGCATGCAGCACCAGTAATCAACACATCAGAACCAGCAGATTTGACAGCCAGGGAAATCGAGGTGGTATTTTTAAGTGTAAGACAACATATAAATTTGTTCTTCAATTCCCGATAGGGCTTATTGACCTTTGGTATGTATTCAAGTACCTGTGTACGCCTCTTAAGGAGGTACAATGATGACCACCTCACACACCCAATGAATGAATGAATAGTGTATTTTAAAAAATTACCTTTAAAATCATTTTCTCAAAAAGAACATAGGCGTGTGCCACAATCCACAGGTCCAAATTCATCTAAAGTAGTTAAAAAAGCGGGTCAAGACGGCAACGAGGGAGCACTTGAAGTTAAATTCGTTTAAAGTGTCTCAAGTGAGAGCTTATGACGGTGATCGCATGGAACAGAGTATTTTAGGTCAGATGATACAAAATATCCTCATGAATGCGGAATGTGAAATGAAATGGTCAGCTTAATTGGACGTATGCTGCAGAATTGCATACGCGCATCTTTTCGAGCTTCAAGGATTTGGTATAGCAGAATTGTGACACTGACGCGACAAAAAAACTCTGGGTAATGGTGGCCGCAGTTAGTGGTCGAAACTTCTAGGCACCCCTGTTTGGTGTTTTCGACTACCTTCCTCACGTTTTGAACCGTCACAGGGTAAAATGGAGACGATGCAACAACCCAAGCTCGACTCATCCCTTTCAGTTCACGTGCTTCATTCTTGCATGGTTTTATTACTTTGTTCCCTCTTCAAATTACTGTTTCCTGCTCAGTCGGAATTACAGCGCGGTGTTTGCTGCATTGCCGCTACTGGTGTGCCACTTCCTGTTTCCTATTGGCACCAATTCCGATTTCTGTTAGAACTACACGAACTTAGTCGACTACATGAGGCTGGTCCCTCGGCCCCTCGATGAAGCCAAACCAAAACCAAACAGAACAAAAGTATCTAGAAGACGTTAAGCTAGGCTGATAGGCATAAAAAGGCAAATTAAACAGACCCGAATTAACTAAAAATTACTTCAAATTGCGTCACAAGTATTCGAAGGAGAGAGGGGAACCTTACCCTCAAGGCAATTGAGAGGAGGTTGAGTTTAAGACTACGCATTTTTGTCAAAGTCAGTTGGACATTTGGAAAACGCTGATGAAACTCTCGGTTGAGGCACTTTTTTTGCTCGTCCGCTCGCCTATAGCCCAAAATACTGGCCTAAAGAAAAGGAGTGAAGCGAAAAAAAAAGAAAGCAGGAAATTGCAAGCTCCAGAGCCAAAATAGTAGCCATCTTGTTCAAACAAGGTCTGAGAGGTAACAGTTAATCTTGAATTTTAAAATTAAAACAGCAGTAGCTGTCAGGTGGGAAGAATAAAACAAGCTATGCATCAGTCTATCAACGCTATTTATCAGGCTCTCTACTATTTTTCCCTCATTCTAAACCACCATAATCCAAAAGGTTAGCTGAACAAACTCAACAGGACTCGGGATTGTCGGACCTACCGACCTGGTTTAGCTCTGTTTCAAAGCTGTTAAAGCTTCTTGTGTGGCAGAATACATCGGTCAGGAATGCGTAAAAAGTTTGCCAAAGAGGGTACATCACCCAAGGTCAAATAAAGCATGCCCAAAGACACTCAATTCTTGGGCATAAAAAAATTGCTCGTCGCTATTACCACTTAATCTTAAAGCGGTTGGTTTGTACCTACGCCAACTGGGAAGGGAAAGTCTTGAAACCTAATACGAAAATGGATACTACTTATATGTTGTGATTTTATCAAGTTATTAAACCACACCGTGCATTTTTTGCTGCCGACTGACTTGCCATGAGAGACCGCTTTCGTATTGCAATGGACATTAAGCGAACCAACCTGTCACTGGTTATCCTCAAACAACCCACCACTTTATCCTCAAAAGTAGGCTTCGAAACAATTGTGCCCGAAGTTTACCTACTCGGGACGACACATCGGAATGTGCGCAGGAAAGTTTTCTTCAGAAGTAACTGGACCTAGATAATTAGTCGGAAGAAGATCCTACTAGTTATAGGTCACCTAATTGAGGGGTGTACAAACAGTCAAGCAATCTATAATGGCTCATTAAAAGCCTGATTATAACCAATATAATAGGAACAGACATAACCCATTAGAAGAACATCAGAATTGGTAAAACTCACCACATATCCTTGGAAAGGAAATACACGCCGATTGGTAACCCGAGGCGCCATAGGATCATCAAGCAGAAGTGGATTGTAGTTGATCAATGGGTCATCATACACCACGGGCTGGATTGACTCAATGTTCTCCGAACTCGACGGGTAGGGTGTCAGCTCAACTGGAATGGCAAAAAGAGGGGGGTTAATTGGCGCCTTCAAGAGGCTAAAGAATGCTAATAAATGGTGGAAGAAATTGACCAGACTGAATGTTGTAAGACACGGTACCGTCCTGCAGGGGAGAGTTCTCGGGCTTGGAAATGGGGGAAGCCATGCTAGAGAGAGACAGAGTTTGCGACCGACTCCGATATTGGCCGCCTCCACTGTCGCTAGCACCGTAGTCAGTGGGCGCTACGCTACGACTGCTGTTCGTTACTGGTGTAGGAGCCGACTTGCCGGTTGCGGTGGACAACTCATCCCCCCCTACCGTCTCCGCGCGTCGACGACCACGACGGTGGGGATTTTGAGATTGTTGCAACGAATTGCGTGGAACTAGAAAGCGTGCGTAGGAGCGATCCTAGAAGAGCAGTAAGGGGAAGAATTAACCAGAAAAATTTTTGCTATAGAGGCAATTGGAGAGATTTGTTTTCCAAAAATATTGGGAAGCCGCATGCAGAATGATAACAGTTAAAAACTGAACTATGGAAAAAAAGTTTCGGAAGCCGATGAAGTAAAATGTAAGCCTACTAAAAAGCAAGCGAACATGAGAATGCCTACTGAAAATATCTCACGACACCGCAAACCAGCAATTTAAAAACTAAGTTAGAGATAACTTGAATGCTACAAATTCACCTACGTCGACTTCCCATTCATGCAAAGTAACCCTTAAACAACAAGCTATAAATATATTACCGCTTAATTGTCTTGTTTGGGGAGGTTTAGGCATTGAAAGAGCATAATGAGCCCCAATCACAACAGTAATGAGGCCGAAGCACCCACCACAGAATCAACTGGTTTAATATGGCTCAGAGGTTTGGCAATAGGCAAGGAGGTGTTGGCGAGATTTTCATCCTGGCCAATCGAACCCGATCTTGTCGTGTTGTTGGTAGTGTGACGAAAGAGGGAGTTGAGCAGAGCCCCTGGCGTCTCCGGCGCAGAGCGCTGTCTTCCTACACCTCCCGATTGCGTCCCATTTAAGCTGTAATAACCAAACATTCTGCGAAATTTCATTACACGCGTCCTGCTAACACTTCCAGTTCTTCGAGCGATACTAAAGCCACTTCTGGACCCTAATGCCTTGTATCACTTTCAAGGATAACCAGAAAATGCCAAAAAATAAAAAAATTTACGCATAAACATGATGGGAGGAAGAGGGCTGTGGAATTTAAATTTATCGTTTAACTACACGACCTCTTTAGTCTCCACAAATTTGGATCACCATCTTTTGGCGATGTTAGAGGACAAAACCAAAATAATCTGAGCATGGTAACATCGACGAAGTATTTCTCCTCGTCACTACAACAGAAATACAAAGTCTAAAAACGAGCATATTTAGAATCAAAGTGCCAGTAAAAACTTTCCAAATAAACTTATTCACTGAAGCCATAATGATTTGACATAGAGGCAGTCACAAACCCTTTAGGAATCCCCGACTGCATGAGAGGATCACGGGAGAGGGGAATGACCGAGGCCATGACGAGTGGAGGTCTTCTCAAACTCATAGTTGAGATAGCATACCTGTCAAATTGGCATAAGAAAGCTGAATCATTTAACCCCATTCAATAAATACAAAATCTTATTAGTTGAGACCTTCCAAATGTTGACATTAATACTATAGTGAATAGTGTGACATGCCTGATTGTTCCAAATCGTGCCTCGAAGAGGTTATTCGAGGTTACAGTGGAGCAGGCGATGTTACATTTCAAACGCAAAAAGTTTGGTCTGTAGCGGTTTAGTTTCACCTTAAACCTTGGGTAACGCACGTGTTACGAAGGTTGGTTTAAGTGAGTTAGCAAGGAAATAAGTAAGAAGGCAAACCTTATTTCTGTCAATCCAACTTACTTAACGACGAAAGTAATCTACAACATCATGTTAGGGGTTGAAGCAAGTAGTAGATAAGTTGAGCTTACGCACGTCATTGCGACTGCTGATCGGGCTGTCAGTGACATGTTTACCGAATAGGTTAGGTTTATATGCCAAAGACGCTAATCTGACCCCACAGATTGAATGAAAAAAATGCTCTTTCCAAACAACTGTATCGATAAACAAGGGTAAAAAAGGTGGTAAAAGTAGTTTTAAGTGATTCTAGAGTACTACCCAGATTTAGTTCATGAACTTCATTTCCAAAAGGCTACTAGACAGAAGAGGAACTCGCTCTTCTGGGGTTCATTGACGCCATATATGCATATCGGTTGGGTAAAACTGCTCTGTTGTCACATGGGATCATTCACTCTTACCTGTCAGTCGGGAGTGTGGTAACAAATCCTTCTTTATATATGCGATGCTGGTAGAGGACGTGTTAAGGGAACGAATGCGCTGAAGCAAATCACGGTAGCAAACCCATTTTTACATTTTTCGGAATTACTCTAGATTTTAGAGAAAAGGAAAGTAAGAGAAATGCCTTCTAATAAAAAAGATTACTGTGTCAAGAATTTTGAGTGATGTAGAGGAAGATATCTGTGCTTCACAAAAGCGCAAGATGAAAACGAAAGGGGGGAGGGAAAGACGATTTCTGGTGGTAGACATAATGCATGTTAAGTGCTGTCTTTCCCTACGTCAAGTGGAACAAAGCCAACTCAATCAGGAAAGAATTGCAGAGTAGGAGCAGTTCGCTGAAAAAGAGCAAAAAAGTGTAAGACGGGTCTAAAAATCATCCCAGTCTTTTAATTAGAATGGTGGTTTTTGCATCTACTAACAAAAACTATCAGGTTACTTGGAGTGCACTGTGGTCAGTAAACAAAAAGTTTGCAGAAAATTTAGACGAGAAGATAATCTCACAGCTTGAGACATCCATGTGGCAAAAAGAAACGAATTTCTCAGCCAAAAATAGCTGAAAGAATTGTACTCTTCATTTATTTTTTAAAAAAACAGGACCATCCTAATCTGCTTGTAGAATGACATGGGCCCACCCAATGAAAATGCTTTCTTAAAGAAATGTATCTTGATTAAGCAGGAATGGCCATAATCAGCGTAGTATGGCTAAAAAACATGATCCTGCATATAAGTTATCAAGGTTTACATATTCAATGGAGGTCAAGCGATTTATTGGGTTGGATTAACGAAAGGTGTTACGAATCGACGACTCACCGGAAAGACCCATTAGCAGCTTGGCCAAAAAGCCCATATTCTGTCTGTGACAATCGTGACGTCTCTGGAGGCGATCTATCGCGAGTCGCCGGAGTCGACAAGAGCCTCGGGGACCCGCCATCGGAGTGCTGCAAGGACCCCTGAAAGGCCTCATCGAAGCACACATTTTTGCGAGTGGTGACTTTCGCCGATTTACATGGCCGAACTACATTAAAGGAAAAGAAAAGAGCAAATCACCATGAAATTTTTGATAGTGAGAGCCACAAGTCTACTGCTTCAACCAGAGGTCTAACAAACCGAGAAGGGGATGGCTTTCATTGTCCACATTGATGATGTTAATGCAAGGACGCTGCATAATATACAAGCATAGGAGTGATTCGTAAAGCTTACTTACTGTGGCAGACTTCGTGCTTTTGAAAACCACCCATTAAAACGAAATAGGAGACAAAAAGCTATTTAAGGTTAGCAATTGAACTCTCCTTCTTAAATTAATTGGACTAAAAGCAGGGGAAGAAATAGAACAATTAAAGCGTTTGCTACCAGTTCTTGAGGCGAGAGTCAACCACCAGAGTTCAGAGTTCACCATTGTTCTAATGTAAGGACCATGGTTTAAATTACACATTTCAATTTAAATAACCCTCTATTGTCACAGGTGTGACCCGTGGACTTGGGTGGGAAAATCGGGGTGTTGTATATGTCCGATACTAAGATCGGCTATCTTAAATGATCTTTTGCTAACTTTACCCATTTATTGGAAAAAATAAACAAGGTGAATACTTCCGTGGCCTTGTAAGATTCCACCACAACTTACAGAGATTGGGTTGGCGGCTAATCGATGAAATTCGACTAAAGAAGACAAAGACCAGCGTCGAATTACTCATGATAAATGCCCTAGTTCATAGTGGAAGTTACGCAAAATATCGTGGTCAGAGGTAAGGTATAGACAAAAACTCGCCTATATAATAAAACCAAACATATTTAACACGACAAATTTTATTTTACCGTGTTGTACTTAGTTAGTTAAGGTACGTTTATAGTAAAATATGTGATGAGTAATATGTTAACAGCCCAAGACCTATTAAGCAAACAAAAAAAGTTTGCCAGACTTTCACTGAAGGAGTAGTCAATAACTTACTCTCCGTAAGCAAAGTCTAGACCACTTTTATCGTCTTCGTCGTCATCCTCATCTGTTGCGAAAAATCCGTGCACTCTTTGACCTAAAAAAACCAGGATGTTTGGAAAATTCTACATATCCGCCTGCTGAAATACCTCAATAAGAGAAAAAACAAATATTTGAAATTCTCAGGCAAAGAAGGAAGGGAAAGAAAATATGGATTAAGGAACCACTTTTGGAGTAGCGTGCTGTCCTAGCAAGCCCGTGAGCATTGCCATCAAGAGATATGGTAGATAGAAACCACTGAGCTGCAATTTGCTGCCGATATTCGTAACAGTTCATCTATTGTATACTCTAGGAATGTAAAAAGTTGCATTGAACAAGTTACTTTGAATTTACGGACTGATTTCTCGTTTCTTCGTGGTTGAAATTGGAAATGAAAATATGTACACTATTTAGGTATCAAGAAAGCCGTAAAACTTCAGAGATATTAGGAGACTAGGGCTTGTGGAGCATATAACTTACGTAATTATGTTAAAGCTACCATGCACTTGCACTTGACGTACGTCGCCCCTGCGTTCATTAAGTAAGTACACGACCACGAAAAAGGCGCGTCTTCAATAGATGCTACAGATGATCCTTGCCTTGGGAAATTTAATGAGAAGTACTGAGAAGATTCTAAAAAGTTATGGCATATAACGCTATTAAATACATTTTAGATTTATGTTTTAACTTAGTAGATAACTTGGGAAGCAATATGTCATGAATAAAAATTTTGGATGTAACAGCAATGCCCATGTAGCGCTGTTAAAAGTTTCCTTTGCCCCTTACTTAGGTGATATCTAGTGATTAAGGGCAAAGCACATCACATAATATACTAATTGTCTACGTATAGACTTCCTAGCTGGAAACCGGACCAAAGCGACTAGTCAGTACACTCGAATCGCCACACAAGACAGATGAAATATCCTACCCAACTTAAGGAGAGCAGGTTACAAGAAGCATGCAGTTGCAAAGTAGATAATTGAGGTTTTTACACGTGAGCAGCTCTGCGGCTGCATTGTAGACGTGATGGATTTTCGATTGAGGGGATGGCGAGTCGCGATATCCAAGATGATTTGTAGGAAAGCAGAATGGAGAGGTCGTATAGGCAAACGTGCAACCGAAACCAAATCAGGCTGTCATCATTATTGTTGTGGATGCAGTATCGTGGAGTAAGTACTCATTTCTGCAACTAGAGGAAATGACTGGTGGCTTCTCTGACCTGTAACGCTATGAAACATATCCCTTTCTTTCTTTACTTGGGTTTGGAGGCTTGAGATTATGATAAATGTGAGTTGGTATTAAACAATTATTCCAAAGGCTTATAAGGCCAAACAGATTTGCTTTTAGAAAGCTCTGGAGATTACGATGATTATACAAGACACCCATGAAATGTTACCTGAGCACAAGCATTGAGTCGGTTTCAACAAAAGCACTCGAGAGGGGTATCTTTGCTGCCAGCAAGAGTGAGTAGTGTGTGCTTTCGGTGAGTGACAGTGGCCCCTGAGGGCAGTCAGCCCCGAAGTACCCCTAAGAGGAGAGCAGTAGTAACACACAAACTTCATCTTTTATTAATGAAAACAAGCAAGAGTGCGAAGTCTAACCGCATTTGAAATCTTCTGAGTACGTTGCTTTGGGGCTATAGACAACTTAGGCAGTGTCTTTTCAAGTTTGTATAAGTTCCAATCCATTTTTGCTGTCACTCCGAACAATCTAGATTCATTTACACTTCGCGCTCTTGTTGCTCCTTACCTAATCAACTGCCAATTTCTTGAGTGAGTGAAGTTCTCAGCATTGATCTATTTTGTGTTTAAGATACCTAAAACGCCACATACACCATTCGCACTCACATTTATCGCCCTAGTCGATTATTCATGAAGACATTATGGCATATAAATTAAAATAGTTTTTTTCATCTAAGTAAAGAAGGAATGAAAGACTATTACTATAGGTGGGATGAGCATGGCTAGGTGCATCCGACATTATGAGCAAATGACGAGAGGCAGAATAGGTATCCTTAAAAAAGTGAAAAAGGTACAAGTGGATAACGTGACTTAGTTAAACTTTAGGTGTCGTTCTCGATGCTCTCTGTGACTACTTCTCTGCCTCGAAATCTAGACACTTTTGGCTGATAATGAGACACAAAAAATGACTTTTTATCAAAGTAAATTGATTTTTGAATATAAAGAAATGGGCAGATTTTAATGGGTTTTGTAGGACCAATTCATCTCTATCTAACTGTAAGCTGTATTGTAGTAATTCATTCTCTATTCCCTATCTGTGACTGGGTAACAGTCTTTAGTAAGTAGAACTTGCATGCCAATCGAATTTGGCTGAAATTTTTAGCCAGAGTAACACCCTAGAATTGCATCCTACCGCCACCGCTCCTTTCATATAAGTGCAATTTTGAACAATTTCTTACTGCCTATCTAGATTGGTACCGTCAATCACATTTAAAGGAACCATCGAAAACTTAAATCAGGGTCAAGATCCAATGCTTTTTTGCTCGACTATGCTGTCACGCTGTGAACTCTTCCGATACGTTTAAATCTAGTCCCATTGTGATCGTTGACCATCAATCAAAACTCGTGATTCGAGTAGTTAAGTGCAGATGACAAGGTATGCAGTCATATCAGGAACATTACGCTAGAATTAAGTTGGCTTAAGTTAGTCAATTTCCTTGAGACCAAAATTTTAAACTATGAATCTCTTACCGATGGATTCAGTTCATGTATTCGCAGGGATACTTGGAACCTACATCCGCATGATCAAGAGTATCATGACCAACAGTGCCACAAGTACTTAAAATTTACTCAGTTGAATGCATCAAAAACGTAGCAAAAATATGACAGTTTCCTTTATTTATACCAGATGAAAAAGTATTGAGGTAGCCTGTTGATGCACTCGTGACTGACGACGATATGCAGCGTATTTTTAACAAAACAAAAACAGTGCAAAGGTAACTCGGATAGATAAGAATATCATAGCATGTTTGCAACAAAAACTTTTTATCAAGTCTAATGCTGTTTTTGCAAATATGTGTTCTGGATTATTACCATAACTTGGACACGTCGACAACTGCATACTAGCCTAAAAAACCAGCCAAATACCTATGACGAAAAGTACACATCATGTAAAATGTATCTGATTTTATTAACGTATTTGTAATTAGCCGGCAGACATTCTATGCTGATTGAAGCAATATTTCCATGCCAAAAACCAAATATTTGTTGACTTCATGACTGTATCCTAAAATAGTCTCAACGGAATCCAAACAAATTTAATTTTATGGACTTGGAAGACGCGTTTTAAAAACATAAGTTGAACAAGAGCCTCCTACTAACAAATTTTGAGAATGTGGCTGCGGCGTAAAGGTCATCACGAAAGTCAAGGTCACTGCAGAAGATTTACCAAGAAATAAGGTGATTTAAGGCTAATTCTAGTGCACAAAGGAATAATTGGTTAAATTAGACTATGATCTTGCAATCCTAGAAAAATATTTGTCTCCTTATCCCACTATTTGCGATTGCAAAAACAACTAGATAAATAGATTGTAACAGCTGAAAAATTAGCATACATTTTGCCAAATTAATATAGATTAGGAACAGTCAGAGATGTCTTATCAAAAACTTCGCCTAAAACTTGATTTGTATTAATAAAATATAAAATGATGGCCTTTAAAAATCGTTTCACTTACGTAATCACTAAAGATGACGTGGCGCGCCCCGTCTTTTCAGAAGACGTAAGAACTCACAATGGTGCAGCAGCGACTATAATATTGTCTGAAGGGTTTAGAGGCTATTGGCATAGTTCTGGGTGGTCATTTCGCCTAGCAGAAATGCAGCCTGCGAAGATCCGAGTGCTCGCGTGGAATAACTCAGAGCTAAACAAACAATTAAGGCATCACTAGTGAGTGTATTTTATGGTGACGTAAGAAGTTGATACGGATAGAGTGGATGATTTAAGTGAACTAAAGTGCTTAGACTCATTACTAGAAATGGACGGTGAATAGCTTTTGTTTACTATGTGTTTATTAGGTCATGCGAATTCCTTAAAAGCATCAATTGAATTCCTTTGAAGTGAAATTGCCTTCGCCATCACTGATGGAGGAGCAGTAGTTTAAATTCTGAATAATCTGTGTGCATTTAGCAATATGAAGCAAATAATTGATAAGTTTTTATATAAGCCACTTAAGTGTATGAAACAGTTCATAAATATCAAATATGTGGCTTAACATGGAAGGCTAGAAATGAGGCCGATTATAGAGAGATTTTAAAAAATTGCCAGCAGACAAAGACGTGTTAATATTGAAAGGCAAAATACAAAGACGCAAAACCAAGAATAAGAGCACGCGAACTATTTGTGGCCGTAAAGTATCTATCATTTGATAGGCATGTGAAAGTAGCGTGACTGAAAAAACACGAAACTCAAAAGTATAAAAAGCGTTTGAAATGAATTAAACTGCTTTTCTATAGTATTTGAAAGGATGTCGAATCAGGCGTTAAGTGATAATGCAGCGCAAGTCGCAGAAGGTGGTGCAAAAAGTGGATTTGAAGTCATAGCAAAACGAATAATAATGAATAGATTAAAATGTCTTTGGAAATATATGGAGGAAGAAAAAGATGATGGAGTGGAAGAGAAGGAGATGGAAGAAGAAGAAGAAGAGGAAGGGGTAGGTGAAGAGGGAGATACGTCAGAGGATGAGCAAGAAGAGGGCGGAAACGGGGGAGATGGACAAGAGGAGAAGATGGAGGAGATTTTGGAGATACAGATAGAGGAAGAGGACGAGAATGAGGACAGTGAAGATGAAGACGAGGAGAGGA